TTTGTTTGCGAGCTTTTTTTATGGCACTGTTAGCTTTGAACGCTGTCGAACGAGTGCTAAATAGGTTTTTTGCTCTCCCATCTGCCGCGTGTGCAGACAAATATATCATTTTATACAAATGAAAGCCAGTTTTGTCATAAAGAGCCACCGATAGGTACATGGCTCAACTAATACAGATGTCTTCAAACCGGATAACAAAGCCAAAATCGGAGTAGCACATCGTAACTTCGAAGATGGTTGATGTGGTTCATTAGTTTAAACCCGTTCGTACAACGACGTTAACAAGTTCGTATAACTTACGTACACTGAAGCCTTCCCTTTTTTTGCTTCTGTATCATTGATCTGGCTCTGCTTATTGTCGTGCAGATGGCGTTGACGACGCAGGATTTTCATTGAATTCAGGCTTAGCTCCAATACCCATCTTATTATCCTGAATTCTTAATTGAATTGAGTCATACCCAACAAACAACGAAGGATAAACTTACATTATACATGAATTTCAAACGCGGTCTGATTAGCCCCCTAAGTTATGTGAAACTGCTCGGAAATGTGAACTGGCAGTCAGTAACGGCGATCTTGTACGTAGAAAATAGAATAAGTGTGAACAAGATACAGCTGTTTATTAGCGGACATAGCGTAACACGGGTTAGCTGTTTTCCTATGGGGGACCAGTCAGTAGACGTTCGACCGCCATTAGCAAAAAGCATGACACAATGGAGCTAACAAAATGGTGATGAACATGGATTGAATGCTAAAAGCACCCGTATTCGTAGAACACGTTTATCATTCGTCCCATACATATAACTCGTTTATTTGTTTGTTACTTAATATGCCTTGCTAATATGCTGTCCGCAAGGTGGCGTTGTGTTTGTCTGCGTAACTGTTTTGTCATCAATATTCAATGGGAAAGTGAATTGTTTTTCAGCATTCTTTTTCATGCAATTGTAAGACCCGCCAATGGAATTCGAAATAGAGCCATAGAAAACAGGCAGCGGCAGCGACACGCCATCGTAATGTCCGTTGTTTTGTTTACTATTCTCCCAGGTCGTGGCAGTGAATCGGTTTCTTAGAAAGGGACGCACACGCCTTAATAATTCTCAAATATATTAAAATTAGTTTCATAAAAATGTGCCTATCTACTTGTCGACCCACAAAAGAACAGTAACGACAGCGTTCTACTCATGTCGGACACCGTTCCGCTTGTCACCTACTTGTTTCGATTCGAGAGACCATATCGAAGGTTATTCTGAGTCGCTCTTCGAAACCCCCTTCGCTAGCAGCGCCTAACCATTCAGCAGTGGCAGGGTTTCTAACGAGTGTCCTAGTCGTCCAATAATTGTGCTCCTTCACCTTGACCTTAGTAATCTTATTGCCTCTAGTAACTAATAACTGCCATTCAGAAGAAACAAGTTATTAAACCGAATACGTAAATACGATCGTTACTGGTTAGAAACATCTATGCGAATAGATTGAATAGCTAATTACGGAGGTTCGCCCATCGGCCGTCAATGATTTGAGGTGACGCTATCGTGTACCAGCTCATTTATTATGCTGATGATATCACCCTGAAGGGGACATGGTCTCCGAACTATAATAATAACAACAGCAGTAATATTTTGATGCTTGTAGTTTAAGCAAGTAGAGCCGAAAGGCCTTCGTTCTATTTTAATAGATGACGACACGAATCTCTTCCACGTGCGACAAATACTGTCCTTCGTGCGCCATTACCATGTTATTACTAGCTCCACCATAAGAGTCTTTGTATGCTAGCTTCCATTTACTACTACTATTGTCTTTGTTAACACAACCAACACGAGTTGACACGTCGTCTCGGACTCAGGCGCCAGCCGTAGCCTTTTCTCTATCGCTCGCCCTTTCATACTATACGAGCGCTGACAGGACAATGATCCGACGATGGCGACGATAAGGTATCGTCTGGCTGAGCGACCAATTTCAGTGTTAACATGGCTTTACTACAGAAGACCAAAGTCTTTTGCTTATGATCACGATCGTTATCAAATCGAGGACTGTGTAAACAGCGACGGCTCCGGAAACCATCGACAGAACATGGCGATGCTGTCTCCTCTGCGTACTCCGGCTATTATCATCGTCTCTATACCGTTACATAGTTCCTACTGGATGCGTCGATTGCATTACACCGCTCTGGTAGGCTTTTCGTTATCGAGGCATGGCCGCGTTACATACACCGTCGTGCAATATAACATTCCCGCCCCCATAAAGGCTAATCCTGCTCGTTGCTACTCCCGCCGCCGCCGCCGCTGCTATAGACCCAGTATCGTTCCTGATGCTGCAGTTTTCATTTCAGCGCATTACAATTAAGCGAGTGATATGTCCTCAGCAGGCGAGCATGTTGTATGGTGGAGCTTTTCCTTATCTGGATGGCGTCGCCGGAGATTGAGCAAAGATAAAATAGAGAGCACAGCAAATACAGATAAGGTCTGGCGAAGCCCTTCCATCCGGCAAGTACTTTCTTGTAGGCACGGAGTGCACGCAAGAACAAGACGTACCTGATCGTGATATTGGAAACAGGAACCCAAATGGCGAAACTTTTTGTAGCGCTGACGTCTCTCTTAAAACGACGATTTATCAATAGGGTAAATCAGGGTCCTTAGCTCTAATTGGGTGCATGCTATAGCCAGTTACCAAACCGCTAGTACGGAGCGTCGAATCCGCGACACACAACCTCTGCAGCAACAAGGTCTGCCGGTTATAACTGAAGTATTACGTTACCGACTATGACGCTATACAGTAAGGCAAAGCTTTATGCAGGTCGCACAATAACAAGCAATTTGGAGAAGACACCTTGCGTGATACCATCAGAAAATATCTTGTGGTACTTTTTTTTTAGTTTTAGAAATAAAAACCCTGTGTTGATGACACGAATCGGAAAACAAATTATTATGTTTGACCAATTAGAGTTTTACGTAACTGTGAACATGCAAAATCCTACTGTTCCAGTTCTCTTGAGTAGCTTGAGATTCTTATGGCCTAAGCTGCTTTACGAACTTTTTGATAAAAAGGCATACAAAGTGTTTTGGGCCTTTTTGTCGGTGGACTTTAAATTCTACGACAAACGATTATAAAGTTCAACGATAACTTCTAACTTGAGTAACCAGACTACTCGTGTCGACGGAACGACAAATTACTACGTCGAAGCGTTCACACGATCATCTTAGCACTGCGGTAGTAGATCGCTTGTATATGCAAATGGATACGGGCGTATTTGTACATCTATCAAATCTCCTATGTAGTAGGTGGTTTCGGGGTAGAAAAAGTTTTGCGAATTATCACTAGCCTCAAAACCGTAGACGGCGATTGCGACCACGTTCGCGATCTACGGCTATCTTCCCATGGATCGTTTCCTTATGCAGGGCTCCATATCGTGCAAATGAATGCTTAATTCCTACAATGTTCTTACAATGGTACCATTACACGGAGTAGATATCCTATAGATTTCGTCACCGTCTATTGAACCGTATGATACCTATTGACCCGTAACAGGGATCGGCACAGGTTTGATCCGTTCGGCTATGTTAGCGTTCGCTTTCGGGCTCGTATTTTTTCCGCGTGCGAACATTACCTCTACACGTAAAACCGTATATTTATCATAACCAGTGCATAGAAAAATACGTTTTTGTTATACAACGTTATCTGTCAGATTGTGTTAGAAGGTTGTGCTCTTTTCGCAGACAATAGCTCTGCGGAGCAGTTAGCGGATCTGATCTATCACAATGTTTACATTGGAAATACTAGATAGGCCTTAGTAGTTGGTAACGTTTTTAACATTGCAGTACGAGTTGGCTCGTATGACGAACTAGAATTTAGTTTATAACTTATGTCTCTGTCATCTGTCGAACTCTACCGTCAGGTTCTACCTAATTGGCTATTACACTTAATTCCAACCAGCTGTCGTTGTGCTGTTACGTTTTCGCAGCGAGTGGAGGACTATCCGGCCACCTAGACTATATTATTTAGCCTGATGTAGAGCTAAATTTGTTTCGACGACGTGCATATTTACGTGTTATCGCACCAAACGCTCGAGCGTTCAATAGACGAAACGGGCTGTCCTTAACAAACATTGGCCAAGCATGTCGGGCAAACCCCTTGCCTAGATGAGTTAGTGGTTTTACGTAACGTTTGATCGAAGCTTATAGGAAAGCACATATCTGAACATCGATTGCTACCGTGTTTCACTCCTCCCCGGTATCTCACCGTAACAGCCAAACTTATAGGGAATGCATAAGAAAAAGCAAACAAATCAAAGAGATAACATCACTCTCTATTTTGTTGCCCAGTAGTTTTTCTCACTTCTATGCGCGAAGGCTGTTTTGCCATTTGACTCGGGCCATATTTAGTTAACTTAGTTACCAGTCCTATACACGACTTATTGTCAGAGATGATTTGGCTGTTCGTGCGGATTTTGGGGCAAGGTGTTTGCCATCGTATCGTTCACTATTGACCTGCGACCGAAGAAAAAAGAGCAATTATTACGACAGCAAAGCGTATCTCGGATTTGTAGCAAAGCATTAGACATATCGAAAGGTTGAAATATAGTAGAGCTGAATCAAGTGTTTTTTCTACGCAGATTTGATAGTTCCTACGTTTTTTCTCGTCTTAGCGAAACGTATACGATCAGTTCCGAGATGGTCTCACCTGTTTAGTGCTAACTCTTCTATTTGAACATTATTTACATGTGCCTCATGTAAATATACGATTATCTATCCCTCTACGAAGAACCTGAGCTTTGTCGAGAAGTCGCTCGCAAACATGTAAATTCAATAAGGCTTTCAAAAACATAGTAAGCCTGCAGTAAACAAGTGAGACGAACTAGCAAACATTTTGATGATACGGCTAGTAGAATTCAATCGCAGCAGCGGAGCTTGGGTGCAATGGTCACTTAGCAACAAGCGATGGCGGACTTGGACATAGCTTACTTATCTGGAACGAGACGAGTCGTGTTTGTCCGTCGAAAGCTGCTTCCTCTTTAGTCGCCTACGAGTTGTCGTACTAATGGTCATGTTAGCTCGAGGCCAACTGCTGGCAAAGGTAGGCACCAGAGAGGAGCGGAAGGGGAGAAAAGGTGGCAGAGATCTTGAACCAGGACATCGAAGTGTCTTCATTTTATGATGCGATTTGGGTTACAGAAAAATAGGACATGATTGGATTGTCTAATGCAGAGCCAGCCAATCCCGTTATCACGTTCGATGTCCATTGCCCAATCGGAACATCGGCGACGACTATCTAAGACAACCTGAAAACTGTTCCTATGCTGCAACCTAGACCCATTTGCTGTCGTTGTAGTTGCTGCTTTTGCTAATAATCAATAACTAGCGCACTGCCACAAAACAGAAACCTATATTGTTGTACAACAGTGGGCAATCATGATACATACAGCATCGGCAAGTTCAGGCTGTAACAGTTACCATCCACTCGTAAGTTCGTCCATACCCCTGAACGACGTGTCTCAGATACAGAACTAACTCGCGTAACGACTAGATTAACTAGCACATAACAACACAACCTATCTGACACGAAAAATACAAATAGAAACGGAGTCGTTTCTATTGGAAAGTTAAGTCCCCTGGCTAGCAGCTTTGCAGCGGTCGGCACCTCAGCGTCCTCGCCGTCTTTCGCTAGTTCTCGACGCCCAAAGCTTTGCCGCATGTTCGTACGTCGATAACGATTTTCTGATCGTTCAGTCAAATTAGCGGACACGCCAATAAATGTCTTAGGCGCAAAGAACACTTACAACATTTTTTGCCATTATCGAACACTCATTGGACTCATTTTTGTTGTCGGCGACCACTCTCCGGCCGGGTGTTGACAGGCTGGACCTGCATCCTGTACGTGCCTATGTTTCCCGTGTAGAATCAAAGTGTTCCTTTTATCATTGGAACCTATTTTCATCGGCTAATCGACGACTGGGTAACACAGCAGAGTCGTCTGCTAACCTAACGATGTTACTGTTATTATTTTTGCGTTGTTGACGGGTGAGTTACGCTTCCGAGGAGTCTACCGTTGCCACTATGCGAACATTACATTGAGACCCGTAATGAAGCCTATTGTTCAAATACATGCTACTTGGACAACGAGACGTTAAGCTTCACTGAATTCGTCTTTGAAGTCGAGTAAAAGTGCCGTTAAAAAGAGACATCAATTTGTGGTGCGTAATATTAGATACGGAAACCGCTCAGCCTAGAGACCCCATACCCGTGTCTGTATTCTTACCATATAATTAATGAACAAAACTGACATAGCAAAGCGAGGCCATAAATCATAAAATGCTATAGTGTCCTAAATTGTTATGTGCTCATCTGTCGTTCGTATTTGATCAACTACGCCATGTACGATCGTCCTGTTCATACAGGAACGTGTAGATTTACTAGAGTCGGAGTGTTTGCTGGTGAAAAGTGTTGTTTTTTTTTTCAAAATTAATAATGAATAATTTATTCGTTACATTTTACACTGTTGCTATGTCGAGCTTAAGGTGATACTCCGTACAGGATCGTCCTGTCGAGCTTTCGAGATGAGTTTTTTGCAATACGTATGACACGGAACCTCTACTGAGTCGCATATAAATAGAAGTGCAATGTTTATATTGTCTTGCTCTCCGTTCGTGTCGGGAGGCGAAGTCTCGGATTGTAACATATGAGATATATTGAGGGGTATTTATTGCTTTCAACATCACTATGCACTCCAACATTCACTCGACGCATCCTCGAAAATGGTTAGTATGGCTTACAGGGTGTAGAATTATATAATGTTTATATTTTACTAAAAGATCATTTCACAAATTCGTCTTCTCTGCTAGGTTTCGCTCAAGATAAACAAGTCGAAATGAACATGATTAGGTAAAATGCTTCCTAGGTACATTTAGAGTGCGCTGTTCATTGTTTCTGTTGGCAACCTTCACAAGCTATATGTGATCTGTGCCCGTGCGGGCGCCCCTGCGTCGCCTGTATTCGAACAACACAACTGCTTACCCGTCTGACAACTTTCAGCGTAACGTATAAATCTATCGTTACCAGGGGCTTTGATTATAATGTTACCGACATAAACAGGAGTCGACTGCCTACGGCAGACTCAGTGAGCGGATCCGGCACGACAACGCTGGTCAGTCAATCAGACTTCTTCGCTGAATGCAGACACGCCGAACACGAAAACATCGAAACATGTACATCTTTGACAGCTCTTCCAGTATGGCTTGCGTCTCGTGCGTGAAGTGTTTTTGATCAGCAAGATTGTGTGCTGCTCGCAGCTGACGCGTAGACATCGGCCGTCGATACTGTGAAACGAAACGCGAGAGAGAAGTCCCAAGACGACAGCATGCAATGCTATAGAATACTTTAGAATAGATTTTCGGTAAAATATTGTGCGTCCTTTTATGGCGCTGACGAGCAAAAGCGATAGCAGTTGGAGACTCGACAGCGGCTCGATGAGACGGAAGTAAACATTCACTTTCATGAACAACTAGAACATGTCGTCCTTTAGTAAGAATAAGGCTGAATCCTTTGACATCGTGTCTGAACGTGTAGCACCGCATTGCGTCTCATATTAGCAAGCTAAATAAATATAATCTACATGTGGGCTCAATGCTTTTATATTTTGGGATGGCTAAACGCTTCCCGAAATAGTGTTTCTATAGTCGACAGCTTGAACATTGTAATCGAATGAAAGTCTGTGCTTTCCACGACCAGTTCAGTTAGATCTGTCACGAACGTTCCGTTCGTGAGAATTGCGTGTCATCGTAGCTGAATGTCCAGCACTTGGTACCTACACGTATCACAGATAAGTAAAGCCAACGCACAACATCGCCGTGAAATCGGTACCAGGGGGCGAAATTGCCCGATTAAGGAAAGGGTCGACCTGCCTTGAGTTAGTGGGAAACCTTATAAAGGTACGGACAGGTACTAATCCTGTTAATTGCTGACCAGTAAATCGATGTTGATGCGGACGAGTGTTAGATATGAGGCTAGAGCAAAAACCGTGGCAGTTCGTGCATTGTTTGGATACTGCGCTCACTAGTACACACTAAATTCCAGGCTAAGAGATAAATGCTGGCCTCGAGTAAGGTACGACTGGGAAACCTGAACTTATTCAGTACGTGTCCGCTTCCCTACAGCCTCCATGCAAAGATACGTAAATTCAACATACGTAACTAGTCCAGCGAAGCATAGGGATAACCAGATGAGACAAATTTCCTCAGCCCACACTCTGGACCCAACGGAGCAATGAAGAAGCAATTGAAAACTTGTGTGCGCAAACACGCTTATCAAGGTATACAGATTAGCACTTTTAGCTTAGAAATTGTAGAAACCCCCTTCCTATGTTCCGCAGTTGTGGGGTAGTTTTGCTACAATATTATAAGGACAACTATTCCATGTTCCCATTTGTTCACAGCTATGTATATGTATTTCACAGAGCTTGATCTATCGACATAATTGAAAAGTACGTATCCTAGGAACAGCTCAAAAATTACCTGCAAGATTTGTTGTGTCCGAATCAGCTAATGCTATACAAGTTAGCGATACTGTCATCTAATTTAGAAGTTCGATTAAAACCATAGCCAACAAAGCTGAGAATTTCATTTGTTGCTATAATTTTGTTGTTGCAATTCCAGCCAAAAAGAAAGGTGGCCCTGTTATATAATGATAAACCTGGATGAAATCATTACGATGTAACACACGACCGAACGAGCTAATGTCTGCAACGACGACATCATAAAATTGTTTGCCAAATCTTTTGTTGCTTCGCGATAACTGATCAGTTTATAAACTTTGTGCTTCATTTTAGTCTGCTTGCTTTACATGTTCCAGATAAGGAAGAGCTGTAAGGAAGTTCAGCCAGAACGATCTTCAGTTATCGCTGGATTAGCTGGCGTAAGCTCAGCTAGCGGCAATCCACCACAAGTCGGTAGCACTTTGTGATCCCACGAAATTGTAGGCGAAAATTTCCACACAAACATTTCCGCAGTCGAGTAACCGTGTTTACAACCATTCCAGCCGAACAAAACCCTATTGTGTTTCTCCATATTAACCTGATAACGTTCATTTATACCTTTATGAGATCCCAAGAAGCTCCAACTATATTCAATATAATTACAATTGGTTTGAATTTACAGTTATGCTCGTCGTACTCACTCAAAACTATCAACCGGTATCTTCTATCACGGGCTCACTAACAGCTGCTGTATTTAGTACATAGTGTGTATGTAAATTCAACCGGTACAAAAATGAATGCTGGTATTTATATATATATATATATATATATATATATATATATATATATATATATATAGTATAACCTGATAGGCTAGCAAATGATCTATCTACGATGCTGTCTCTTCGAGTAAGCAGCCATGATCTATGTGTTGTGTCAGCTTAGCATATGGGTCTGGCGTAACCCATGGAAACAGGCTTTATACAATTGAGATAATAAATGAATCGCGTTCATTTTACGCCACGCGTTTTTTTTCTTCGATTTTATAATAAATACGTTCATGGTGTCGCTTATCAGTAGGCCGATTTAGTTTGTTCACGTGACAAATACAGCCATACGAATCACTCCACCGTTGCAGAATCGGTCGGTCGGCGAAACTTAAGTTCAGTTTCGTTAACTACTTCGTAAACTTAAGTTCGTACGGGTAACTTCTAGCGTGAACCCGACGTTTTATGCTATGACGATGTGGCCTAGCGTGTTTATATTCTAGTTCTATCCGAGATAATGTATCAATACACTCCAATGAATACTATTGATACTCTATCCTTTTATGCCATACAGCTATGTAGAACGTAGAACTATATATGTATAACAGATACCAGCGGAAAGCGCACAAAGACAACTTCACAGTATAAGAGTTATAATATGCTGACGGCTTTTTGGTACTGCAATCGATCTGAAGTCACCTAAGATGCGACAAAATTCTAATATTTCCAAGTTAACAGCCTTAAATCACAGAAGCCTGGTTGAAGTAAACCTTTGCCGTCTAACTGAGTCTGTATGTATTCAACACCCATTGTGTAACCCATAAACTACAGAAACGACAAGAGTTTTGTTAAATAATTTATATTAATCCAGCTGCTGTCATTTTAAAAAAAGATGCACATGAACTTCAACTAGGAACGCTTCGCCATTGTGGTATTCTTTCTGACACTTGAAGTCGGGACAATGATGGAGCGACGGTAAGCGTGTCACGTCAATCATCTGCTAGATATAATTTCCGGTGTTCCTATTAATTTGACGCAGATATATTTATTCACTCCTCGTATCGAGTCGAGCTACCGTCTTTTTTTCAGATCAACGAACTCCGAAAGTGCCATGTGTAACACGGTGACCAACTTTCCAAATGATCAGACATGGCGAAACGGAGAACCCCATAGACATCAATGACACCCTTGTTGACTATGGCCGTCAACCTGCGACGAGTTACTAAATGAACTTGAATAAATATTAGCCTTTTAGACAAAGTGGTGGCATCCGGACCGGCAATTTCTTTACAATGTTTTTAATTTTTTTTTCTACTGCTCCATCGCACCGCTTCTAGCTGGCTCACTCATTATTTTAAGTGGGACACAATCTACGGCTGCATTTACAGCCAACGATGAATGATAGCGCGACGTGACATAGGCGTTTCGCCTCAGCATCAACTGCTGGGGCGTTTCAGTTTTGCCGCATTTGGCTGATATCAAAGATGCTGCGTAGCGCGGATCAGAGTCGATGGTCAGTGGTCGCTTCAAGATCCCTCTGCCCGTCCCCGTCGGCGGTACTTTCCACAGTTACGCTGGACTCTTAAATCATGGAACGTAAAAAAATTTCTGACTTGAACGAATGGAAAGCACTGCGGTGCTAACTTCAGCATTTGCCGACTCTTGTATCACCTGCTAAAAAGAGTTATGTTTTTTTAGTTTAGGACACGGATTTCGCAATTAGATCAGTCCTCAATGCTTCGACCTAATGATGACATACACTGTGGCTCACAGCAAAATTCATTAGGCCAATGTTTCTAGGACCACGGATACAGAAAGTGGCTAGATTCACAGCTTTCGTGAAACGTGAAATTCAAACAATATCATAGACTTGCGCATGTATATCACTCCTTCGTAATTATTATTAGTCATCCAGACTGCGCTGTCAAGCTAGAGGTTGGTCATGCTGAATCTAGTTAGGAGCTCAGCCTTAATGGCCTTCTCGCCTCAGCGTTTCGAAGCAACTCAAGTACGTAAATATGCAATCCGCCTGGAACCATTATCCGCCCTAATGGCCTCCAAGACGCTTAAAATGGAAAATACTTTTAGCAAGAAAACGAGCGCCCATACATCTCCTCTGCAAACAAACCCCACACAGTATCAAATAATGATGATACAATTTTCTTCTATCTATCAAGGTGCTCGTAAACGATCCTGGACACTGTTTGTGGGGTGACTGACAATGAAGTCTCGCTGCTGCGATCAGCTCTGGGTTCTCTTCGTGTCACGACACGATACAGCCTCCTCTGACTGATTCGGCTGATGACAGCCGGACTGTCGTTCCACGGTTCTATGAGACATTTGGATACATTTCACTGGTTGAAATCTAGCTCAAGCTGCGAGCTGTCTGATTTACCTGTTCTTACTGGCAATGGTTCATGTGAATATTTGCGAGGACTGCTTAAAATGTTCAATGTGTCCACTGCTGCGCGTCTCCTTGCATCAGGGTGGCCTAATTTTCCCTTGACTATGACGCGTCACTCATGTGGCAGATAGCGAAAATCCTAAATCTGGGTATGCGCGGGACACGCATATACGTGTAAGGGCTATGCATACAATTTTATCAGTTTTACTATTTCACATCGTTGGAGGTATTTTGTTTGTTTACAGGACACCAAACTACCCTTGTACAATGGTAAGATGAATGTAAAAACTACCCGAAACGACACCCTTAGGTGCTTCGTTATGTCTAGCGCTGATAAAGTTTAGTGGTTCTAATTTGGACACGTAAACCATATCAACTGTATGTGTCGTAAGTATATATTTGATGTTATAGAACGGGCAAACAAAGCTAAGTGTTTGTTTAGACAAGAGCAGCTACCGATTGGCTTCCCATACGTAAGACGCCCTTTCTAACTGAGAATCAAGCAGCGCTGTCCCTTTGGCTAAGACACGACTAGTGAAGTCCCGTTAAGAAAGACAAATGTGTTTTATAAACAATCGGCGCTCTCCTGATGTTCGTGTTATGGCCAATCGGAAGGAAAGTAATGACGAAACTTGCCGGGCTACTTTTGGTTTTGTCATGGGAAATCGTTGCTTTATCTCTAAGCGCCTACTCCAGTAACTCGAATATCGTTTTACGTAATCTGCCATAATGTATTTTTTTTTTAGATACAATTATCGTCATCAGTGCTTCGTTAGCTGACCTCTCACTTTATCTTTTTTTTTTTCCAATTTTTTTAGCTAAATATTCAATGACGACATGCGCATGTCCAAAGCTCATCAGCGCCACAGCCGCGTTTTCAGCTAGATCTGAAGAACTGTGCGAATTTTCAAAATGTATGTAACACCTGTCCTAAGTGTGTCAGTAGAAAACGCTAAAAAATATTTGCGTTACAAACTGCAAGTTAAATAATAATCACATTAGCAATAGTGACGGTGGTTAAAATTAATGATCGGCGCGTGTCTCCTGTACGCCAACCAGCTTCAACCAGTGACTTGCAAAAATGTCATATGTAATGAGCCCACATTAAACAAAAAAAGATCCTCAAATCCTTTAGGTTTCCATATCTACAGGCTGACAATGCGAAGAGAACCACCGAATGTCTAACGACTCTGTGTTACATGAACAAAAACCACAAGTGATCAAATGAACGACCCTTATGATTCGCAATTAACAATAAAGAATCCTAAAAGAGACTCCGTCTAGGGATTGTCTTCGTGTAAGCTTTACGTCTTACTTCTTACGGCACGGTATTTATACCCATGACAAATCTGAGTCTTATCGATCTATCAAATACAGCGCTCATGGTTATGTAAGAGGGACCGGGACATTGATAGGCGACGAATCCTCTTACGAATATACCTCTTTTGCCGCGGTTCGGAGTAAAAAGAAAACTAATATTTCGATAGGTGGCACACTTTTTTATACCTACTAGTTCACTATAAATCATCGTCACCGAATTTTCGTCCCCAGCCAATACTTCTCGTTATTTACAGGTATCCAATAATAAGGGCGCGTCTTCGACCTGCTGCTTTTTGAAGCATACGGTTTTGAAATCAATAGATCGTTCTATGTGTCCATCTTTAATCCAACCGTAAGAAAAGTCTCTTAAACGGTCTCCAAAGCCGTTTTTTGGCCGGCGCTCTCAGTTACTATTTTTTGATTAGAATCTGTTGCTTTTTGGCTTGCGCAAATTCTGGCTTATTACAGAACTCAGAACTTTAAGTTATCGAAAGCTATAACCCTTTTTTCGGTCATGATTTAAATACGTAAACGTTGTTTGAACGTGTCAAGAGCCCGTAACCTTAAAAACTAGTATCCGACATGCGCTGAGGAGATGGAGGCAAATTATCCAATGTTGTTTATGTTGCTGCTAACGCAGAGAATTGATTATTTAAGAAATACCTTCCCTAAAAAGGAGTAGGAATGGATTTTTTGGAACAGCTGGAAAACCTGTTTTCCAGCTTACAGAGGACGCCGTCAAATGTTGTTATTTTTTTTGACTTGGGAAATGATTCAGTCACCTTTGCCACTTCTGCCTTCACAAAGCGGTTGCAAGTGAACGCATCAGCAATTTCCGGTGTGCAAAAGACTCTCAAGATTCGTGTTTCGAAAAGACTTCGAGATAATGTCCTAAACAAGAAAAGCCCAGCTTTTAGAGTTCATCGCCCATATTTATACAATTAACTTAACATTAGCTAGCTCGGAGGTGGTACAACATAGACGGCTTGGGTTGTGTGGCTTAAGATCAATTAGTTGGCCAAAAATGGACATTCTTTTAAAAATATGAAATGTAGGTTTTACTTAAATGAACCCTCAGGGAGGCATCCTTCAGCTTCAGTCATACGCGTTCCTATTTTAAATAACATAGAGATGAGGACCCTAGCGGCGAGGCTACTTAGTGCGTGTCTCTCGCTCTACTTGTTTAAGACTATTGAGGGTTGCCATTAAGAAAGGTCTATATTGACACCGCACTGAACTATACACACTATACAGTATCGCTTGTTATTTTTCCACATTCTTCTGTATCCTATGTTTGCCGATTCCCTGAAGG